CTAGCCCCCCTCCCGGCCCCTATCTGCACCTGCCAGCCCCAGATCTGCCCTCCCCAGCCCATCTGTTCATGAATATTCATGGCAGGACAGCAGGGCAGGACCCCCAGGGGCAAATATTTCCATCTCACCTGTCTGACCCCACCCAAGACGTCACCCCCCCCTTCCAGGCTGCATCAGGTTGCCTTTAATATTGATGGGCTCTGGGCATAGTGAAACCAGAGACCCCCACTATGAAGGGCAGAAGGGGGGGAACTGCAGGTCAGGAGTGAGGGGCACCAGCCTGGAAGCGGAGGGGGCTATGGGTTGGGAATGAGGGGCACTGACAGGGCTGTGCGGGCAGGGGCTGCAGGTCAGAGGTGGGGTGCACTGCAGGGCTTAGGGGGGACAGGGGCTGCAGGTCCCCAACCCAGAGCTAGCTGCATCTCTGTCCTGTTACACACAGCCTCATCCCACCCCAGAGCCAGTTGCACTGGGGGCCCAGTGATCCCTTCCCAGTAGCCACCATGAAGCTGGAGAAGGAGCCGGAGGCACCACTGCAGTTCTTACTGGCAGCAGAGTCGGACTTTGAGGAGGTCGTGGCCATGTCCGAGGGCATCTACGGGGGCCTGGACTACCTGCCCAGCCGCTACCATGCCTGGTTGCGTGAGCCCCAGCGCACCGTGGTGCTGGCGAAGCGTGCTGGTGCCGTGGTGAGACTGGACCCCAGAGCCAGCCACATCAGGCCCATTCTACACAGCAGTGTCCCACCCCAGAGCCAGCCGCAGCTCCATGCCAGGCTGGGGGTGGGGCTGTCCCAGTACACCCAGCTCCCCCCTCCCCCTGCCCCAGTTCCCAGTGGGTGGGGGCTGGGCTGTGACCCACTTTGAGCCACGGCATCATCGACCCGTGTCCCAGGCGCCTCTTGGGCACCATGCCCTGGCACTGGGCGCGTCGCCTGACTGGGGCTGAGCCAGGGGCTGTACTGACCTCCCCAGCTGGGATCAGGGGTACTCAGGGCTGCACGGACCCCCACCCCATAGGCCCTGACTGCCCCCCCCGCCCCCTTTCCAGATCGGGCTGCAGTCGGTGGTCATAATTGATGGCGGGGAGACAGCACTGGTGGAGGGGCTACGCGTGGCCCCCTGGGAGCGGGGCAAGGGCGTCGCAGGGGAGCTGCAGCGCTTCTGCGCTGGCCTCATCAAGCAGCAGCACCCGGGGGTGAAGGTCTCACGCCTGACCCGCGATGACCCACTGGGCCCCAAGGACTTCCGCAAGTACCGCATCGTGGCCAAGCAGGTACCCACCATGCCCCTTAATGGGGTATTATGGTAGATGCAGCACTGGGTGAACTCCCATTAGATGTATTATGGTAGCACACGCCCCCCCACCCCCAGGCTCTATCCAGGATGTGGGGGTTCATAGTAGGTATACTATGGTAGTGCTGTTCCCCTCCCTTATGTATAGATCTAGCAAAGGTGGGGGTGGGGCACATACTAGGTATATTATGGTAACACTGCCCCCCCCCCTTAAGGGTGTATCCAGCAATCTTGGGGGGATTCATACTATGTATATTACGGTAGCCCTGATCTGCTCCTTAAGGACCTATCCAGAAATGGAGGGGTCATACTAAGTATATTATGGTAGCACAGGCCCCCTCCTCAAGGGTCCATCCAGCAATGTAGTGGGGTTAATACTAGGTATATTATGGCAGCACTACCCACCCCTGACCTATTCTTCAGGATAGATCCAGCATGGAAGGCTCATAAATATATTACGGTATCATTGCCCACCCCTCCTAACCCGTTATGGGATAAATCGGGCCGGGGGGCGGGCTCCTAATAGCTATATTATGGTTCACCTTTCCCCACTCCCCTATCATGGGGGGAGGTGGTATTATGGTATTATTATCTGAGGCTGGGATCATATTGGGTATGGTACGGTATCACTGCCCAGACCATCCCCTCCCCCCACATCAGGGTCTTCTGGAAAGGGAGGGCGTATGTATAGTGTATTACGGTAGAACTTCTCACACTCAGATCCCAGCTTGGTGGGGTCATATTAGGTGTATTACGGTATCGCTTCCTAGACACACCCCCCCCTTCAGAGTATTATGGTCTGTCTCATACGGGTGAGGGGCTCCTATGCAGTATATTACGGTAGCCCTCTCCAAACCGCCCTCCCCCCCAGCAGGGAATGAAACCCAGTAGTGTATTACGGTAGAACTTCTCACACTCAGATCCCAGCTTGGTGGGGTCATATTAGGTGTATTACGGTATCGCTTCCTAGACACACCCCCCCCTTCAGAGTATTATGGTCTGTCTCATACGGGTGAGGGGCTCCTATGCAGTATATTACGGTAGCCCTCTCCAAACCGCCCTCCCCCCCAGCAGGGAATGAAACCCAGGCGTCCGGGCTGCCATGTGACCCCCCCTGCGACCCACTTTCGCGCGGTCACGTGATCGGGGGGGGGATCCACTAGCCCCGAAATCGATCTGGGCGCGTGACACGGAAAGAGAAAGGGGGGGGAGGACGCCCGGGCTCCGTGGGGGGGCAGCGCCGCGCGCCCCCCGTGACCCAGCGCCCCGCGCCCCCAGGCCATCCTGCACCTGCGCTTCGAGGCGCCCGAGCTGCTGCCGCGCT